TTGCTTATTATAAATGAGCTCCCTTTTGTTTTCCTCCTGCACATTGGTTAGCAGGTAACGTGACCTAGGTAGGTAATAAATTATAAGGACACGGACAGCTGCTAAGGAGTAGTAATGGGTGAATCTGCCCAGGTTCAATTTGCCAAAGGTTTAGCAGATATTGTTTGAAATTCAGTGAATCCAAACTTAGAGGCAAATCCCATTGAAGTTTATAGGGAGCTGAACCTTGTTGTTAAATTCTGGTCATTTATAGGGCTAATAGGCAAGCTACTGTCAAAAAAAGGCATGAGGAGCAGAGCACTGCCACGGGGGACAACAATGCAAGAAATCTTTTTGATGTGGCTTAGAGGGCAGTATTGGATAAATCCTTTAAATAACATGCTTGGGAAATGTCTTAAAGCTGTATGTGGTGGTGTTACAGTTCAATTTTCATGGACAGTCTCAGGGACAGCAGGATTCACCTCAAACCCATAGTAGCGGCAAACCCAAGCCTCACTCCTAGGAGCTAAGACACATAACATGCAAGGGGTAACATTCCTATAGTTTTAGAAAATATCTTGCTTCCAGAAGGAGTCGGTTATGTAGAGAGGAGCAATCCTAGTCAGTTCAAGGTCTTGATACAGTATGTACTTTACACTTGTCTGATTGCAGCTGTATTTGGAAACTCAAGTTCATTCGCAGAGTTACTTTCTGTAAGTGATTTTTAGGTGTATTCATAAAGACCTGCGGTATCGTATATAGACTCAATCTAACATATAAAAAGTATAGCTTTATAAGAGAAATCAACATTACTAATGAATGTATTCATGTTCCCTGTAGAGGTGATTGATTAGCAGTTAAATTAGTTCCCTTTCATTTATCCTGTGTGCACCTGCCCTGTACTGTCCCCTGAGCAATGTGCTGTAGAGTTTTATTGCTGACATTTCAAACCACTTACCACAAATCAGACTTATATGAGAAGGTCTGGGTCAAAACAGCTAATATTCATGTCTTCTTGATGTTCATTATCATTGAGACACATTGGAATCAGCATAGTTGAGTAGCAGCCAAACCCTTCATTTCCAGTGTCCTCACACAAACCTTTATTGCAGGAAGGGGGATGGGACATGCCCGTTCAGCATTGCGGTCATCGGAAGCCCGCCCCTCAGCGGGGCGGGCTTGCGATGATCGCAAGTACGATCTGCCTGTCCAAGATGGGCAGATCATACGTTTTTTAAATTACTTTACAACCATCGCAAGACTAATGTCTTGTGATGGTTGTAAAGTGTATGGTCACCTTAATGCTGGCGACTTTTGGACTGCACAGTTATATTTGCATACCCTACACCAGTGCTCCCCAACCTTTTTATCGCCGCATGCGATATTTTGCGCATGCGCGGTATTGGTGCGGCTTTAGGTGACGTCTCTCAGCTCCCGGTTAACCTCTCGTCCTGTAAAGTCGGACAAACCTGAGAGAAATACACCACAGTAAATAAAATGGAAATAATTTAATGTTCCTTGGGCGGCCCGGTACCATTTGATCCACGGACCGGTACCGGTCCGCGGCCAGGTACCAGTCCGCGGCCCGGGGGTTGGGGACCACTGCCCTACACAACTGCTGTAACAGGAAAGTGAAGAAGACTATGAAATGAAGATCGATAAAGCAATGTCTGTCTGACTGCATATCTGCTTCTGTGACTTCAACTGGGCTTTAATATATAAAAAAGTATAAATAAATATATGCAATATATACGGTATATGTATTGTTTTATAGGTAATTGTGTTTTAAGCTGTTACCTGTCCTCTAAAGCAGCATGTTTTTTTCAGTTTCCTACCAGCAGCATAGGTAAATTAACCACTTATATGGTAAATTTGCTGCATTTATATGCATTTCTGGGAAGAGCTCCAAATCCCAAGCTGTTTTGGCAGGGCCTGGGAACCACCCTTGAGATGTGAACCTGGGCTATAGCTGCATATGATCACTGTTTGATAAAATTCACAGCTGGCCCCATGTGGGATCAGCATTACACACTCTTCTGTGTCTGCTGGAAAAAATGCATCATGCTGTGATTTCTGTCTTGGAGTTAGAAAACATACAAGCTGTCCATATGGAAGGGGCTGCTATATTTTCATTCATCTGATGACATGTGCTTTAATCCTCAGTTGGGCTAAGGCTTTGGCATGTGAAGCATGTGTAATTTAATAAAATGTTATAGCCAGTTTTATTCTACTTTCCTGTTAACAGGGTTCTATGCTTAAATTCATTAGTAACACTATAGGCTATATTACATATTAAAGTGATCTATATGCCTATCAGCTCCTAGTTACACTGACAGGCCTGCTCCATTAAACTTATAAAAGAGGATGTAAAATACCTTTCCTGTGGAAAAGTGTGCTTCGGGCTTCATCCAGTGGATGGTATCATTGCCAGTGCTGCAGCATTTGGTCATATAATCTCCAACAATGAATGGTGAGGGAACTAATACTGAAGCAGAACTGGCCAATTAGCAACTCTGTTACAACACCAATACATCCTTTTGGTTAATACCACTTGACCAATGCCACAGCATGACATTTAAAATGTAACAAAATGTTAAAATGGAACCCATTTCTCTTCTGAGAAATGCTGCAGTGTTTTTTAATTAATTCCAGACTTGTACTATGGTGGACAGGGGGTGCGGGTGGGGGGCTACAGTTACTAAAGAAAGTAAGGGTGAGGACTCACTTTCAGTTAAACAGTAGGGAAGAATGAGAATGACGTAATTCCCAACTGCAGCCAAATCATTTTTAGTTTTTTTTGGAGTGGGCTTTAGCTGGGGTCTCAGTCAAAAGTATGTATAGTACTTGTTAGTATGACTGACTGGGACCCCATTCCTGTCATGGTGACAGGGGTCAGAGGAAGAGAATGGGAAATCTCTCCATTGGAAAGAGAGAGACAATAACAAAGAAGGAAAGGTTAAACCCTCTGTAAGTGTTTTTGCTGTCTGTTCAGTCCTTGTTAGGTGATCTATGGCCCTCTCATTTCTTGGCTTGGGATTTTAATGGGTATACATTGATGTATATGTTTTATTGGGTGTGATAATGGGTGTGAATATGTAATAAACATATTGCATATTGCATAAAATGCATAATTTGGTTGGTTTTATTAACGTTTTCAGTGACAGGATACCCAAGCCAACCCATAATCCACTTACCCGAAATGCATGCCCCTACTTATATAAATGGTTGAGGCAGATAAACTGGAAATTCTGTCTGTCTTTTGTAGGCATCCGTTTGCATTGCAATAATGAAAGAAGACAACTTTAGATACACTATATTACCAAAAGTATTGGGACTCCTGCCTTTACACGCACATGACCTTTAATGGCTTCCCAGTCTTAGTCGGTAGGGGGCAATATTGGCCCACTCTTTTCCACTATAACAGCTTCAACTCTTCTGGGAAGGCTGTCTACAAGGTTTAGGAGTGTGTCTATGGGAATGTTTGACCATTCTTCCAGAAGCACATTTGTCAGGTACTCATGTTGGAGAAGGCCTGGCTCGCAGTCTCCACTCTAATTCATCCCAAAGGTGATCTATCGGGTTGAGGTCAGGACTCTGTGCAGGCCATTTAAGTTTGTCCACTCCAAATTCGCTTATCCATGTCTTTATGGACCTTGCTTTGTGCACTGGTGTGCAGTCATGTTAGAACAGGTAGGGGCCATTGCCAAACTGTTCCCATAAAGTTGGGAGCATGAAATTGTCCAAAATGTCTTGGTATGCTGATACTTTAAGAGTTCCCTTCACTGAAACTAAGGGGCCAAGCCCAACCCCTTATAAAAACCTCACACCATAATCCCCCCTCCACCAAACTTTACACTTGGCACAATGCAGTCAGGCAAGTACCGTTCTCCTGGCAACTGCTAAACCCAGACACATCCATCGGATTGCCAGACAGAGAATCGTGATTCATCACTCCAGAGAACACGTCTCCACTTCTCTAGAGTCCAGTGGCGGCATGCTTTATACCACTGCATCTGATGCTTTGCATTGCACTTGGTGTTGTAAGGCTTCGATGGAGCTGTTCGGCCATGGAAACCCATTCCATGAAGCTCTCTATGCACTGTTGTTGTGCCAATCTGAAGGCCACACGAAGTTTGGAGGTCTGTAGCTATTGACTCTGCAGACAGTTGGTGACTTGTGCGCACTGTGTGCTTCAGCACGCGCTGACCCCGCTCTGTCATTTTACGTGGCCTACTACTTCGTGGCTGAGCTGCTGTTGTTCCCAGTTGCTTCCACTTTGTTATAATACCACTAACAGTTGACCGTGGAATATTTAGTAGCAAGGAAATTTCACGGAACACCTGAATCCAATGATTTGGAGTGGTGTCCCAATACTTTTGGCAATATAGTGTAGTTCACAGTTCATATTACTGTACTAAAGCATAACAAATCGATTACAAAGTAAGTGACCTACACATTGTTTCAACTCTGTTCTATAGATGGTACAGCCTCATGTGTCAGGAAATCTAACCTGTCATAACATACAGTTTCAAGGTACTGTTTATGTTTCAGTTGGTGGAGGGCTACCATTTTTAGTTGTCTGCAAACATAAGCTAACTGTACTTTATTAGGGTTGGTGTGGCATAATTTGGTGGTTGTGTCCCTGAATAGCCAGCAGCAGCTTATCGAAAGGATTAAGACATGATCCCTAGGGCACCTGCTGTTGGACACACAACTACTAGTTTGTCAGGGCAGGTAAGAGTCTGAGGCCCATGCAGTCCCCAGATATATTCTGCTTACTTAGTGAGTAACACTACAATACAATACACAGCAGAATATTCTCTGGTAGCCATGGCTGACTGTCTCCATGGACCGGTCACAGTGGAAATCAAAATGTCTATCAATATGACTGTACAGTTCCACAGAGCTTTTTTAACACCATGCTGGCATTAACCTAAGGGTGATTAACCCAAAACCAAATCAACATTTTCATTTTTTGGACAGTGTGGATAAATCTTAACAGAATCTTTACATTTTTCCAGGGAACCATCTTTTTGCCTGGAAACAGAGTGGTGGAGCATCCATGCAATGAAGACAGTCCAGGGAAATTCTTATTCGAAGTAGTTCCAGGTAAGATTTCACTTCAGTTATACACATATGTGCTTTGAATAATTTTTTGTGTTTATATCAACATATTTTCCCTAATGCCTGCTCACTGCCATGTATTGTCCTGTAGGGCAAATGTATTCTATATAGTGTTTGCTTGATATACATTACATCTGAATGAGATAATCTTTATGTTAATAGTTATTTATGAGTGTTTAAGTAAAAAAGCTTTGTTTCTATGTACAGTTTGTAATTATGTGCACATGGGAGCAGCCATATTTACTCATTACATTTGCAGGCTTGGTTTACTGCTCCCTAGTGCTGCACAATATTGATACGCGTGGATCCTGTTATCTTGCTTTAAGACTGGACAGGGTACATTATACTCCCCATAGTCTCTCTCTAATGACATGAAACTCCCACAATATTCCTGGTAGCTAGACCCCATGTGATCTAAGCTGTTTAGTCTTCAGATAGCATGAGTGACCTCAAAAGATTTGCATTCATGATAAGAAAAAGGTTTTACTCATAGTACTAATGTGATTTGGGACTGCTGACAAGTACTATGTTGATTCATATATGGTGTAAATATTTTTGTTACATCCACTTTAAGTGTTGCCAGTGTGGGGTTTGCAGTCTGGTAAAAATGTGTGGTTACCAAAGAAGGAAAAACAATATTTGTTTTATTTTGAGCTCCAGGAGCCGGTCTTCAAGGTAAAGCAAAATGTTCACTTTATTGGCAACCCCACCAGTAATGCATATTGAAATACCCAGTAGTTCATGTATATCCAATGTTACTCACTCCCCTTCCTCCAGTGTGACAGCACTGGTGTTTGGTGATTCGGTACTCAAGCGCTCAGCCTTGTCATATTGGGGGTGCAGACAACTCTGCCCTGTGTAAGCTCCAAGTCATGACACAAAGGGCTCATTTTCTTTGTTTCCGGCTGAACATACTAGTAGGCGAGGGTAGGATGAATATAAGCTGCTGGTGGGGCTGCTATTAAGGTGAAACTGTAATTTTGCCCTCATGGGCAAGTCGCACACTTTTAAATTATGGCAGTATAGTAACAAAATCAAAATAATAATAATAATTCATGTGCATTACTCAGCCCTGAATATGTGATGTGCAAAATCCTAGTGTAAATTATTTCTATGCCACATCTATTTTGTAGACATAATATGAACAATACACATTGTCCCATGTCTGTCACAGCCTTGAAATTGCAATGAACACTACCTGTTGTGCCAATGTACTTTATATTGCTTTTCTTGCACAATGCTGTTACAGGAGAACCAAGGCCACTGTATTCCCAAATGTTTTACTTAACTTGATTACTATTATAAGTGGGATGAAATGCTACCTATGTAAAAATATTGTGCAGGTGACAGATTCTCTTTATGCAGACACTAAGGGACTTTTTGAAGTGAATGCATCTTCTGCACTGATCGCAAGCATATTAGGGATAGAGAGTTCCGGATCTTCTGTTTACCAAGCCACAGCCAGCCAGGACCTGACAGTTGTGAACCTGGAAGTGCTCAGAGCTGAGTACTTCCAGGTTCACTAAAAAACAGAGGGATCAGTGATCAACACAGTGTATTGGACGTGATGACTCATGGGTTCTTAGACCGCCAGAGGGAAGGGGGAGTTTGGCTGCAGGAAACGGTCTAGCAGCCAGCCCGGTCAGTGGTTCGGATGAGTATTTCTATCATTTTAGACCCTAGATGAAAACAAGATCTTAACCCTTGTAGTGCGTTTTCTTCTGCACGGAGTTCTTTTTAAAGGCTAAACAAAAGTTTGCACATAGTTTAGTTTTTAGTTTTGAATGTAGTACTATCTCAATATTTGCAGTTAAAATGATGCTACATTGCCATTTCTGTGGAGCTTTATTTTGCCTAGATTGCCTTCTGGCTTTACTGTAATATACTACAGGAGAAAAATTATATTTGGCATTAGCTAAATCTCTTCATACTGTATGAATAGATGCATTACACTGTCACAAGGCAGTATATACGTTGTTTTTGGTATTCAATGCATGAGTGATCAACACTGATTGCAGCTACCTGGATCAACAGTAGAAAAAGATTTCATGAATTGCAGATTGCTACTTTGCAAATGCTGCAGACCTATTTATTCCTTCTACAATATACGAGGATATAGTAATAACTATATTTACCCAATGATTTTGTACAGAGACTTCCATGGTTACAATGTTTACTTATTTATTTATATGCACTGCTAGTAAGATGCTGTTTTCAGGTGAAGAATTATAGCTTTACTTTCAAGAGAGACAACACAGTATTGATCACAGTGTTGCTGACTACACTGGGCAAATTACCTTAATTGTATTTTTTACGTTCAGCGTTAAGTGTAATTTAATTGTAAAAGGCATGCTTAAGAGGATTTCAAAAGTAGTATTGATTATAACTGATTTCAAACTGGGTGGCTTCAGTGTGCTTTTATATATGTCATGAATGTGTATATATATATATATATAATGAAACAAATGAAGGGGATAATCATATTTTATAAAAACAAAGAAAAGGAAACGTGAACCATAATAACCAATCATATGCTTACATTTAATTTTAACAACCAAAATGACAGCTGGAATACTACTGTGAGTTTGATTTAGTTAAAGAGGATATACAGCTTCTAACAAAATTAACCCTTACAGTGGAGTTACCCCCGCACTGCAAGGATTGCTCACTTTGGTCTAGGGGCTGGAATTCAAAAGATATACTCGACGGATACTCAGTACTGTGGCGATGAGTACTCACCTCTCTCCCCCTCAACTCCAGCTGTGGTAAGTCCTTTGCTGTCCTCACTTCTAATGCAAGTGAATGGACTGCATTAGACATGATCAACAGGGTTAGACCACCATGGAATGCGGGAGTAGCCCCACTGCAAGGGTTAACTTTGTATCTATTTTATTATTTTTTTTAAGTATAATTAAGGGCAAAACAACATATGACATATATGATGGGCCTTTCACTAGCATTAGCACAATAGGTTTTGCTTTTCTGAGTACCCCCTATAACATTGTATAACGACTATAACCTGTTGATTCTAACAGTAGATCTTTATTTCCACTTACTTTAACAAGGCGACAACACCGTTCATTCTGCAGTGAAATCACAGAACGTCTTTGTCACCCTGTGGACAGGGTAGACTTAAGCTGGCCATACACCTTACAACCATTGCAAGACTTTTGTCTTGCAATGTTTGTAAGGTAATTAAAAAAACGTACGATCTGCCCATCTTGGACAGGCAGATCATACTTGCGATCATCGCAAGCACGCCCCGCTGAGGGGCGGGCTTCCGATGACTGTAATGCTGAACGGGCAGTGTGTGCTTGCGCACACTGGCCCGTGCGGCAATTATCTTAAGAGTAGGCCACAAACCCGCCGACAGGGGCTTAACTAGAAATCACAGGGCCCCATAGGAAAATTTTGTATGGGGCCCCGTGATTGCTAGTCATGCCACTTGCAGAGCCCCAGTGGAGAGTGACCCTGCAGAGCCCACCATACACTCTCTATAGTGGGCTCTGCAGGGTCTGAGATCTCTTACCTGTCAGCGACCTCTGTGGTCGCCGGGCCCCGACTCCTGTTCCGTCCCTGGGCCCCGACTCCTGTTCCGTCCCCGGGCCCCGACTCCTGTTCCGTCTACCTGGATCAACGACTCCTGTTCGACGGGCCCCACCTTCTCTTATATCACTGTCCCCACCGGCTCTTAGGTCGCTGGCCAGTGATGTAAGAGGAGGCGGGCCCTACCTCCTCCATTCCGAACACCGCCCTTATCTGCCGCAGCGGCTGGCTGTTACTGGCACAGCTCCGCAGAGGCTATGAGGGGAAATGCGCCGTGGCCTCTGCTGAGCTGTGTCTGTGACAGCCAGCACCCCCACATGCCAAAGCGACCCCCCTGTGCCCGGGCCCCATAGCGGCCGCCTGGGTCGCTATGGCGATTGTTACGCCACTGCCCGCCGTTGTACGATCGCAGGATTTATCGTACGATAATCGGCAGGTGTATGGGCACCTTTAGATAGATTTTAACAATTTAAAGATCAGGTGTTTCACCCCCTTCCTGGCCAGACCATTTATCAATATGCAGCACTGCAGTACTTTGACTGAAGTTTATTCCGTCATGCAACGCTGTCCTGAAATACATTTTATACAATTTTTTGGGGACAGATAGAGCTTGGTGGTATTTAATCACCACTGGGGTTTTTATTTTTTACTATATGAAGGAAAAATTACAGAAAATAAAAAAAATTACTTTTTTTTAACATTATGTTATAATACATTTATTATTACCCACATTTATTTATTATTACCCACATTACCCACATAGGCGATGCTTTAAAAGCTTTTACCACTCATTGGTTTAGTGTTATCAGTGAATAATGGCCCTAGAATTATTGTTTGCGCTCTGACGTTCGGGGTAATATGTAACATGTGCGCCGCAATGGGCGCAATCGTCTTTTTCGCATGTATGCGTACCCAGCACATGTTTGTATGCGTGTATGTGCTGGGGACTTTAACATTGTTTGTATCTTTTTTTAATTCTTTTTTATGTGTGACTTTAATTTTGTTTTCGCAACTTTAATTTTTCTTAACTTTTTTTCACTTAACTTTATTGTTATCACATAGGGGGATAAGAATCCCCCTATGTGATAGCAAAGAGGATGTGGCAGGTCCTCTTTATGGAGACAAAAGGGGTCTTCAAGACCCCTAATGTCAGGTAGTGACCCCAAAGAAGCTGATGAAGCAGAAATCCGCTTCATCAGCTTCTCTTCAGCTTCTGAAGCCGGAGAGGAGATCAGGGAAATTGTGTGCTGATCTCCCTCTGATGCCATGTTACAGAGCCACCGTGCCAGTTCCGGCCTGTCCCAGGCACAGCAGAGCTCTGAGCCAGAGCTGCAGAGGGGGGCAGTGCACCGACTGGCACCTCATACAAGCAAACGGATCACTTGTATGTGCACAGGCATCGTTGCCTGTTTAAAAATGTTGACAGTTTCCCGTACGGC